ATTTGATAAATGAAGTTAACCAACTAACATTATACATACTCTTTTGGTTTCTGGACCCAATATTTTAAAAATTTATAAATGCAATGAAAATATTGGTATCGGTACTCGGTATCGGCAAGTACCAAAAATAAAAGTATCTGTATCGGGCGAGTACTGGAAAAAGTGGTATCGGTGCATCCCTAACAAACAGACAGCGAGAGACTGTGCTGCTTCACATGTCTTCGATGAGAAGAGGAAGGGGTGATTGTTGCTGGTTATTGTATGATGATTGAAATCGTGAAATTAAACAATTAGTAAATAAACTGCAACACGTTATGTTTTCTAATACACGCACAAATTGCATGTATTCTTCTGACAGCGCTGCACGAGCTCACGGCGGATCTGCTTGTTAACCAGGGTTCAAAGTCCAAAGCGCGAAGAAAAATACATGCCTGATTCAAGAAGGGGGTCAGATGGCCAAAAAAATATTATTTTACTAACTTATTAATTTTAAGTTAAATTGTGCTTTGTTGGTATAATGTCTGCTAGAATGTTAAAAAATGTTCAGTGTTTAATATTTTTAAATTGTTGTTTTGTAATTGATTTTTTCTTTGAAAAGCAAGACAAAACAGTAAAAAGCACATTTTGGCTATTTAATTTATGCAATGGTGAAAAAAATTGGCAAAATACATGGAAAAAAAAAAACTCGAAAAACCGTGTTCGGTATTCGGCCTTCGGCCCAGTGTTTCATTTTGTTCCGTTTCGGCTTTGGACAAGAATTTTCATTTCAGTGCATCCCTACCTGATATATATCCAAAATAATCGATATTGAATCGAATCGAATCGCAAGCTTGTGAATGAAAATCGAATCGTGAAATTTGTGCCAAAACCCAGCCCTACAAAACAGACAATTATCTTTTCTTGTAAAATGTGACAAGATCGCGAATTCGACCGTGAAAGCATCCGAAGCTCGCGGCTTATAACATAGCAAAAGATGAGAGCGTTCATGTGCTCGTGCGACCAACTGAGAAAGTTAGTCGCTAAAGAGCAACCAGTGGTTAGAATGAGTCTGGAGCCCTGTTGTGGGTCTATTTATGGTTCAGTTTCCTCGTGATTTGTGAAAGCAATGATGTCCTGGTATGCTTTGTATGGACCAACATAAAAGTAGTTCTTGAAATTAAACTAAGCAGTTTATAATGTAGTATGATTCAGTATCTAAACTGTTATGTTAATAAAAGTTGCGTCACAGCGTTGACAAGTTTGACTGTGCTTCTGAATGTTTTAGGGAGTGTGTTGAGTGATCTCTGATCTCTGTGTCCAATGTGCGTGTGTGTGTGTGTGTGTGTGTGTGTGTGCGTGTCAAAGAAAGCAGTGCATCAATATAGAACTCTGATTAAACTAACTTGGAACTACCTGTGCTTTGAGCAGTTTTAATGTATAATGTATGTAATCAAGTATTCAGATAGACCATGGTATGATATTATATAAATACAGCTTATTGTGGAAAAAAGTTAGGAGCAAAGAAACATATTAATACTATCTTATCTGAGCAAAAAAAGAAAGTTGAAATAAATAACTATATACATAGTCTAATATTCCCTTTTAATTTTAAATTGGACTGAAATACATTGTTAAAGCTCTGCAAATGTCTTGACCGAAATCGTCCTACATCGCTGCAGAAGTACCGACCCAGTGTTTACAAAGTGAACATGCAAAGAAGATCAAACGCCCTTTACAAAAAAAAAGGTAAAACAGTGATGTAGGACGATTTTGAAGTTGGAGGAGAAAATGAGATGGGAGTATTTAGACCTACCCTAACTGTCTTGAACCGGAAAAAAACAGAGTTCACGCAGAGCTAGACAAGACGAGTGTTTGAGGTTAAAAAGTATATAATTGTATTTTTTTTTAGAAAATAACCGATCGTTTCGCTAGATAAGACCCTTCTTCCTCGGCTGGGATCGTTTAGAGAAGTCTATTATATGGAGAGAAATCCTGAAAAGTTTTGCTCAAAAAACAATTTCTTTACGACTGAAGAAAGAAAGACATGAACATCTTAGATGACAAGGGGGTGAGTACATTATCTGTAAATTTTTGTTCTGGAAGTGAACTACTCCTTTAATAGATTTATATAGAGAAGAAAACACTTACGCCTAACCTAAAAATATTGTATTTATCCATGGATTACAGCTTTTTTCTTTTGGAAGCAAATTGATTACAGGCTATTTTTTCCTATATTCGCCAAGTTAAGCATTTTATAACCCTGTCCCTGTGCAGCAAGCAGATCAAGGTTCTATACCACAAAGGCTAAGCTGTGGTAAGATGTGTTATATTTATCACGTCAGTCATTCTAATTCTTACGGTTTTAATTAGAACCACTACCATTTGGAAACAAGGCTGCAGAAATCCAGAGCATAAAAACACTGTTCCTGCTCAGACAAAAAGCAAAATGAAAAACATTCCCTGGTGTGTACATTAAAAAAAGCAACCTCAAAGTAGCTCACACAGTTCTCCGGACAGCACACCGAGAGGAAGGCTGGACTGAGGGTGTGACTGGTGTCAGAGTTTGTCTTTTGGCAGGGTGTCTGGCCGGTGTCAAGTATTGATTACTGTGGAATGCTGGCATGAGTTCACTGCAGCACTGCAGTCCAATAAAAAGAGCCAGGCAGAGCAGAAGAGAGCACAGCAACCCCCGTAAGTGTTGCATGATTCATACTCTGCCTCTCAGGGCCAAATGCTGGCCATTTTCCTTTGCCCTGCTGTACTCCTCCACTCATGTAAACCCCCCCCCAGGGCTCTACAGTAAGACCATTTCAGTCGCATTTGTAGGGAGCTTCGTCATCGCAAATCTACAGTAAGACCATTTCAGTCGCATTTGTAGGGAGCTTCGTCATCGCAAACTCTTAGGGAGTTTGCGACACAAATTTATTTCTTAAATACTGATTTCACTTGATTGGTAACTTATTCTTATTCTACTTCTTATTCTACTTGTTTTTATTGGAAATGTTAAAAAGCTTATAAATATATATATTTAAATTTGACATAAAAGATTACATACTTTTAATAAAGTTAGAAAAATGCCATTACAAAGGTAAATCACTTTAAGGAGTCAAATATCACCTCGTAATGGGAAGGTTAATTTTTTATCAGAATTTTTGATTACTGATTAGAAGGTGCTCCTAAATTTTTGACCGTGCTCCTAAATTTTTTAAATTAGGAGCACAAGCACTCCTAAAAAGAAAAGTAAGCGTAGAGCCCTGCCCCCACTGGGGATCTGAGCATGTTCCTAACAGGAAATTGGGCAACCGATTGTCCCTTCCTATTGAGATCAGCGAACAGGGACAGAGATGCGCTGCTTTCCCTACATCTGTGCTCATGTGTCCTTTGGAAAACAACCGCTGGCAATGAGAAACTAACAAATTGACGAAAAACACATTAAGTCTGGAGTTAATTACACCATAAACCACAGACAAAGAACCTTCTCATAACACCACCACGACAACGCAAGAGCAGCCAAAATCAGGGAGAGGTTTTCATGATAACACATTTGATTGTCTTCACAGGGTCAAAGTGAGACTTTTGGCACATTTTAAGCTAACACATTGCCTGCTGCGAGCCCACGCACATGCATCACTCTGCTTTGCTTTTACCATGATAATAATCCAATATTTAGCTAAACTAAATGGATATAATTTTATTCAGATATTACTTGCCAGAAAAGCTCTTTATCCAAAAATCTGCTGTTACTGCTGTTATACAGTACATGTCCATGCTCCCATCATATGTATTAATGTATTTGTTAATATACAATTGGAAACCAATAGAAACATTAGTCAGTTTTCTGACAGTTTTCACTTTCCATCCTGCTAATCTTTTGTAAAATCCCATTATTTAAAAAACACCAGTGGTAAATTCTGTGATGTTTTGTGGTATTAGCTGCTTTGTCTCAAAATTACAGACTTTAAAACTTTAATTCCTCACTGAGCAAAGCTTGTTATTTTCATCCTGAATATAAGAATTTTCATATATTCTGTATTTAATGTTCTGGCCATTGTGTAAATAATACAATATAATTAAAACATTTGAAGTACTTCACCTAAAATGTCTGAAACATTGGCATACTCATACTCTATAAAAATACAAAACTTTGATATATGCAATATATTTATACAAATATTTATTTCTAAAAGAGCTTAAAAGGTACTGCACAGCAGGACTGACCCAAATTCTGCTTGTTTAATCACATGCAAGTTTCTTTAACCCACTGACAAGTTACATGACTGACTTTTGCTCATTTTTAAAACGAAAGCCAGCACTGTAAGCCATATTTTCCAGCTACATATTGCCAGCATAAAGTGTGAACCATAGAAACAAGAGAGACACAAACAAAACGTGACTGTCCAACATATGCCATTGAAGGAAACTGCGGTAATACTGGGTAAACCTGATGCTGCAGTATATTCTTTGTATATTTCTGTGCAGAATTTGCATATATATATACATGCTTATATTTTAAAACAATTTTAACTCACGAGTAGATCGTGAACATATGCTTAGATTTGACTGCAGTAAACGTGGCAAATGGAGTGATATAGTAAGGGCCGGGGGCGTTGTATTGCAATACCAAGCTAAAAGAAAACAGACACTCTTGTGCATATTTTTAACACATTGTAAACTCTAATTAGGCGTGAACGCACCCATAAAGTGACGTTGACTATTTATGACCAGTGAAAGCTGTCAAAAATATTAAATATCGCAATGACTGCAATTTAGGACAAAACCGACAATAAATACAAAAGCAAGCAGTTTATAACTCTACAGGGATATGACATTTAAACAACAGCACGGATTATCATTGTAAATATTCAGAAAGATTTAAATACACATAGAAGAAACACACACAAAACACTTTTAAAGTGCAGAATAGCGGACTTAAGTTTAGCGCAGCGTTAGCAGGCTAAGCTAATTGGCACAGCATTGCGGTTCAATGGAAGAAAACAACAGAAAAAAAGTAACTCGCAAACCTGGCTGGCTTTGTAAAACTGCTTCTTTAAGCCCGCCACGGACATCTTCAAAGCGTAATCCTCTTTTCTCGACGAAAAAAAGACTTGTAACGTAGGTTTTTATACTGACACAACAGTGTGACAAAAGTCAACGGTCGCGGAGTGAAATCTAAAACTCAAGTCCTCAGATAAACGACACCCGCTCCACAAAAATACTCCAGGTGGCTGCTGGTTTTATAAAGCTGTTCTTAAATGTTCTTCTGGTGGCTTTCTACTAAATTGTGACTTCAATATGGTTTACAGTGCATCCACCGCATTTGTACGTCTTGAGAAACTAGCGGTTTTCTGCACAACGCAAGCACATTCCTTGCGCGAGCGGAGAAGGCATAGACTGTACAAAAACAGGGAGAAGTTGACTGGAAGCGGGACAGCAGCGCCCGCTACCGCTCAGGAAATGCACTGCACCCACAGCGCAAGTGCTTCTATTGACCAGATGATGGAGCCAGATGTCTGTTTTACAGCCCTACAAATAGAATGCTAGTTTATTATTGCTATCAAATACTATGCTGAGATGATCTTGGCACAGCATTTTGTCATTGGAACTAAATCTATTAGATTAACAGCAATAACTGAACTATATTTCTTGTCAATTTCATGTCTCTTATGCTGACCAAGGCTGCATTTATTTAATCACAAATACAGTAGAAACAGTAAGTGTAAAATATTATTACAATTTAAAATAAATGTTTCTATTTTCATATATTTTAAAATGGCAAAAGATATTTTTTACATGTTTAGTGGCAAAGCTGATTTCTTATTACAGTTAAGCAGTTGTGTGGCTTAACATTTATTATTAAATGAAAAGTTAAAAAAAAAAAAAAAAACCGCATACATTTAAATTATATATATTCACACAGGGTCATGTAGTTTTGGATTTTGTTTTCCCTTAATAATAAAAACCTTCATTTAAAAACTGCATGTTGTGTTTGTGTGTGTTATCTTTGGCTAATATTTTAATTTGTTTGATGATCTGAAACATTAAAGTGTGACAAACATGCAAAAAAATAAGAAATCAGGAAGGGGGCCAACACTTTTTCACACCACTGTGTATAGATATATATATATATATATATGCTACTTTGTAAAATAAAAGTATTACTTTAAAATAATAAGAATCTAACTAAGCCCAATACATTGAACAGTAGACTATATAAATATTTATATTGCATTTGACTTTGAAATAAGTCCTAATGAATTGTTTTTTATTTAAATTAAAAATGCATTTTCAGTAGCCACAAAACACTCAGTGTAAAGTAAAAAGACCTTTATTACATTCTGGGATCCATGTGTGTAATCCTTATTGTACAATAATATCTTTTAATGTGTTTGTTTTATTCTCTGCATCCATAATAAACCATAAATTATATTTGTTAAAATCTATAATATGATTTATTTGCTTAAAAATAAAGTTACAACTGAAACAACCACAGAAGGACCATGGCAAATATTTAGGACTCTTGTAGGGGATTTTCTGCTTAAAAATGCTCTTTAAAAAAATAGGATTTTAATTCTTCAAGACAAAGGATGATACTACTCGGGTGAGAAACTGTTACAGAAAAGGACAGAAATGATGAAAGAAAATATCACAAAAATAAACATAAAAAACACAATACTAGATTTAAAGAAGATTAAATTCATCCTTACACACACACACATATACATATATATATATATATATATATATACCTTATAGTTTTGATCCTATTCTTTTTTTTTTAAGCAAGTCAAACTGAAAAAGTCCTCCAATAGCACTGATATAAAACAGGGGTAAAATTCTTTGATACTTCTGCGATTAACATTCACAAGAAAAGTTACCGTACACAGTGATCAAGGTTTAAGGTCTTCTATTTGGTGCAAGGTGTCTTGCTAGGCTAATTGAAGAAGACATTTTAGGACAGAGAACCCAGCTATCTCCCTGAGTGACTGAGTGTAGATGTAAACGCACACTTCCAGAACTACCCTCAAGGACGTGCCGGACACTTGTGGCAGTTTGTAGGGTGGCGAATTACACTCCACAAAAATACATCATCTAAAACTCTAAATGTTTTTTTGTTTTTTTTTTACAAAGTATTTGCACTTTGTTACAATCTTTCTCCACCTTCACACATCAATTTAAGTTAGCTAATACACAAGCGTAAAAAAATAAAACGTAAAAGACAGAACTTAGCAAGGGGGTGTTACACGATCTGAGCTGGAGTGCTTATGAAATCCAAGGAGATCCTTGGCTTGTGAGGGCTGTCAATACTAAAAATGGAAAGACTGACTATTGCACAGGCAGACACTGTGATACGGTGTTAAACAACCAGAAAATGTGTATTATACCAATCATATAAAATCTTACAAGAAAATATAGACAGGCACTGTTCCAGCAGTGCAAAAATAAAACGTCAGGCGAGCTTGTTAAAATTAACTGTCATGAAACTGGACGTTGATACTAATAAATCCTTCGAAACATCTTTCATACCCTGTAATCTTACATAGCTGGGCACTAAAGGGTTTTGAAAAGCCCTCCTTTGGGCTTTAGTTTGTATTCTGGTTTCTGGGCCACTCCTAAAACTCCCCTGAGACCAATCTGGACTTCCTGCCTCTGAAGAACGAAGGCTGCTTTCACACTGCGGACAGATAGTAGATTTTTCTCCTTCAGGTTTGAACCGCAAAGTTTCAGAACATAAACTAACCATAGTATTCCCTAACTCAGGGGGGTAGCTGATGGTTCTATCAACCAATCGTTTGTGCTATAGGTGAACACAAAGGGTAAATGGATGACGGGGGAAAAAATAATCACACAGCAACACAACACTGATCCCCACATCAGACACAATGCAAAGCATGAGGTACGGCCTGTGAATCCACTTATCCTCACAGCTGTAGAATCAGAAAAGTCTGAATTACGGCATTTCTGTGGTGTCCTCATGACTTGACAGCGAGCTCAGGTTGTCTGTTGTCTCTAAAAAATATAAGGTTCCTTCCATCCACTTCCTTCAGTGTTCTTTGCGTTCTCCTGAGGCTTTGCTCCCAGCAGTCGTATGAGTGGTTTGCTACACTTCAGAAAGTCTCATAGAGGCATTGTCTTTTCGCCATCTAATGTGAGGCGACAGCAAAGTCCTGCTCCTGCAAAGTCCTTTTTTGTGGAGTATTTAAGTGCCATCCATCTGCCTCTAAATCTAAAGCTTGTCACGCCAATTCCAACCCCAGCCCAGAATTCCACTCCTATGGTTGAGAAGTCTTTGAAAGGGCTTAAGAGCATCCACTCTAAGGTGCAACTTTATATCTCTGCCTACATATGCTATCTACAGGCTCTGTTTATAAATATATTCTCAATTACATCTATCATTCTATATACATGTGGTTTCCGATCAAATGAGGATATCAAAATATCATCAAATATCTTTATCCAAGTGGCATTTGCGTGGGAAAGGGTAATAAGGATGAGGTTTTCGTTAGTTTAGTTGCATCTTTTAAATTTATATGCAAAAATAAAGAGCTCAAAAGACAACACACCATGTGCACATGTGGTCTGTGCAGTGCGCTGTGCATTAGTGTTGAGTCTGTGAAAGTGAAGGTGCTCATGTGGCGTTTACAAACTCAGGTGTGTATGCATTGGTCCCTTTGAACAGTTTCGCATGGATTCAAAACTGTTCGTCTATAGAAACCAAACCTTAAGAGCTTGCTTTACATATGGGGCAGGAGTACATAACACATTCTGTCTTAATCCTGAGGCTTTGCCACATGTCAGGTGGGTTACATTCATAGTTCTCTTCCTAAGAGTACCCGCAAAATGGGAAGGATCCACTTTTCAAGCACTTAATTTTTTAGGGGAGATCTGAGCTCCAGGTTTAATCGAGTACTCTTTTTAATTAAATATACATAATTTGCTCTGTTTGAGTCATTATATGTAGGTTGCATGAGTAATAGTAACCAGCACCTTAAATGACTGCTGACATTTAACAAGAAATCTGGGTCCTGTTCAAATAGAGGAGTGAATCACTCCATCAGGACGGAGGTTATAGATGGAGTCCTAAAGTGTAACGTGCAAGATTGTCAGTGTGTTGCTTGTTTTTCTCAAACACATATCCATCTACCTCCTCCTATTTCCATTCCCTGTCTTTCTTTAACGGTCTCTTCCTCTCTCTGTCTCTCAGCAGAGCCAATATGACACTTCAATGACTGTTAGCCCTCAGTGGAGTCTGGGAAGGAGATCTCGCTGCAGAAAACCTCTCTGTAGAGAGCAGGGAAGTTGTAGGCCGTTTCTGGGTGAAGCAGATGGAAAAACTCCAGCTTATCAATATGGAGGTTGCAAATAGACTTCATCATGGGCAACTTGGACACCATCTATTGACACAACCGAAAAAGAAAAGATAGTTATAACATTTTTTTTTTACATAACTTGACTAAAAAAAAAACATTATTTATAATATTGTTTGGTATGATTGACCAAATTATGAAATGTTCAAATGTATGTTCTTGTAGTGAAAAGTTAATGCATTTTAGGGAAAACAATACACTATGATTAAAAATCTGCATTAATTTGATTTAAAATACAGTTATAACAGTAATATTGTTAATTTTTTTGTTAACTGTGATATTAAACAGAAAGTTCAAAAGAACACCATGTATTTAAAACAGAAATCTTCTGTATCTTTATAAATGACTTTACTGTCACTTTTGATAAATTTCATGCATCTTTGTAGAATAATAGTATTAATTTCTTTTAAAAACTTACTGACCTCAAACATTTGAAGAGTAAAGTGTAACAATTATTTATAATACTAAATAATATGTGCAGCTATTGGTTCATTTGTGTGAATGACACTCATTTGCACAAAATTTAATTTAAATCTAAATTCAATTTCACCATAAAAAGACTGCAAATGACATCTGGGTTTGATTTAAAAAGTAAATCATTTCTGACATCTATTATTAAAATATTCATAATAAAATGAAGCTGTCTCCATTATTCTCTGACAAACAGGACTCTTGCTTGGGTGAACTCTTGTAGCACAGATCGGTCACTAATTGTCATTGTTGCTCAGTTTTTAGAATTCACACAGTACATAAAAACAGTTAAAATGTCAATTGATTAAGTGTGTGAACTGCATAAAAATAAGAACGGCATAAATATATTTATTAATCGCATATGTTTATTTTGACAGTCCTGATTTTCTCATATTTAACTGCTGTGAGAGTGTGAACTTATCATTCATTCTTTAGATTTTTTCCCAGTACCTTTGCCAGTTTCTCCTCGGGGGCACCAATTTTATGAAGACAGTGTTGCAATGCAGCATAAACCTTCTCCTGAAGTTTCTGCACCTTCTGAG